TACCCCCCCAGTCGTGGGAGGCACCAGTCGTTCATGCTTCCTCAGGCTCAGCTTTTCACGTCTAAGTTGCCTGTTTAAATCTAGCTGAGGCTAGTAGTGACTGCAAGTCAATTTAATAATATTTGTGGCTACCTAGAGCAGGGGCAGGCAATTATTTTGGGCAGAGGGCCACTTACTGAGTTTTGGCAAGCCATTGAGGGCTGTGTGCCAGGCAGCCCAGGGCAGACTAATATTAATTTTCTAAAATTTTTAGGGGCTCTGCGGGCCAGATAGAATGGCCTGGTGGACCTCATCCGGCCCCCGGGCCACAGTTTGCCCACCCCTGATCTAGAGACTTGTGTGAAATGGTTAAATTTTAGCAAACCTGTTTGCACATTCCATCTCTCCCCTCAAGTGGTGCTAATTGAAAGCCTGTCAGCCCTCTCATCCTTGAGGCTGAGTAAGGGTATATTTACAGAGAATAAAATTCCCTTCCATTCTAAGGAGGGACATTTTCAGGCCAGACATGATTTCATCAGGGAAACCTGAACCATATTATTTTTAGGGCTTAACAAGCTAATTATGGTCTTCAGAGAGGGTGGGGAAAGGAGCAGTCTTTGGTGTTCTTCATCCAAGATTTTTACACTTTTCAAATAGTCCTAAATCTATGCACTAAAAAAGAAAGATGGAGTGATAAGGAACCTCATTTTTAGGAAAATTTCCAGGATAATAGGAACAAGAAGAATGGACACGTGAGAGGCAACTGAAAGAATAAAGTAAAGTGCAAGGGGCTTCTGACCTACCATATACTAAAAAAGAATCAGGTGGAAAGGAGAATATCATGAAAATATTTCTTCCAAATAGGCTGTAGGAGTTTTTATTGGAACTCATATTGATTTCACTGGCTCCTATAGCTGTTTTCCATCATCTTTCCTTGTTAATATTCTTCTTTCACATGTTCTTCGATCTTGCTACTGCTCTCTGCCTCCGGTTTTCATCTGTAGTTTCATATGCTTGGGTTTGTTTTTTGAGGGCCTTTGCTCTCTCTCTCTCTCTCTCTCTCTCTCTCTCTCTCTCTCTGTGCCTTAACCTTGTAGCCGTTGGCGCGTGATTCTCTGTCAACACTTCCTGTATTTTACCACAGCAGAAGGGCAGGAAGTGCTAACAGAGAAGCTTGTTGCTGTGAGTGGGAGGTGGGAAAAGACTGAGCCCAGGAGCATTAACCTTAAAGCCTGTGAAGCTTGAATGATGATTTGTGATTGTAAAGGAAAGAATTTAAGCATTTTTTGTTGCATAGCAAATCACTACATGGTAGGGTTCAGGACCATATATGAAATATAAAAAATGTATTTTAATGCCTTGCTAGGAACATCACTAGTGGAAATTCACTAGAAATTGTCAAATTAGCGACATTTTTTAGAAAAATAATCAATTTAAAAAACTTTCCATGAGATGTTATCAGGTCTCAAACAGGCTTTTTCTGTAACAAATCTTAGGTCAGGAAAGGGTTGTGGCACTTTTTTTTTCCTTCCCAGAGAGAAGTTCAAAAATAGCCGTGATTAAAGTAATGCTAAGGTTTCTTGAAGTGAATGATATTATTTTATCCAGCTGTGGAAATTCAACCTGTTTGCATTTATTATTCTTGCAAGTTTACAGACCAGAAGATGCTTTGTTTCATTCAGAGAAAATAAGAAGGAAGTGAAGGCAATCTAAGCATTTCTCCCTTTCTTCCACAGATGTTGTCAATCTGGATCTGAAATCTACCCTAAGGGTTTTATACAACCTGTTCACAAAATACAAGAATGTGGAGTGAGGCCAGAAGCTGCCAAGATGCTAACCCTCCTAACTTCCTGAGGAGAAAAAAAGAATAAGAACACCTCCCACGCCCCTCTGTGCCTTACACTATGTTTCATGCTGCATGATGGAAGCTCCTTCTTTTGTTATCAGTCTCTCCATGTAACTCCTTGCATGACAAGCATACTGAAAATATTGTTTGTGGTTTTTTAGGTGGTTTGCTTATGAAATATCAGAATTTTTACATCCTTGCTTTGAGATGCTGTTGGCTCTATTGTTTGCTATGATCAACTCCTGTTCTTGTTTTGATAAAGTACTGGCTACTTTGATAGGCAGGGAATACTTGAAACTCTTTTGATGGGTCAGTGCCATAGTGTACCTTCTTATGAAACCTGCTTGGTTATTGCACTGGTGTCAACAGGCTGACTAGGCTTGAGTGTTAGAAATACAAAAGCAGGCCCTTGCATTCTAATTTGTGTAGAAATTGCATTTTTCCTAAAATAAGGAAGGTTTGTGTATGCTATAGCATGTATTTGTTTTCAAGGACATGTTTGAAAGGGTGCATAAGAATCTGGCATTTCTCTACCCTTTGTGTGTGAACCTCCTGCTATGCAGTATTATTTTTCACTTGATGTTTACACACAGTGAGCCTAGAAATGGGATGACTGTTTGCTTTGATGCCTTTTTCCCTCTTCTCTTTTTGTATAGAGGAGCTGTTTGTTTGCTTAGAGCTGGAGCCAGTCCTTAAACATGCTTTCTGGATGAGTGCAGGGAAGAGCTGGTCAAGTTTGGCTAGACTGGATGAATGCATCTTGATATACTTTTATTATAAATCTTTTTCTAGAATATATAGGGGCAATAACAGCTTGAGAGCTTCAAGGCTGATACTTATTTACATATGGAAAAGTTTTAAGGGCCTCATCCTGCTCCCATTGAAGTCCATGGCAGCTATACAATTACAGGGCCCAAAGGCTTTGAACAGATCTACAGTACTAATCTTAAAAATAAAATGGATCAAGGTCACTTTTCAATAAGGCCTTCCTTTTTCCTTCCTGAGTAATACCAGACTACTTGAAAGAGTGTACATTAGTATTTAAATGCAGCCTTTCACTGAATTTGAAACAGTTTAGAGATGAGATCATTGGACTGAAAATGACATATGTTTCCTTTCAGTCCTGGTGTGATTGGATGGGTTCATTCAGTCATGCAGTGCTACCCCTGAAGACACTCTGCTGCTGTTACAAGCTCTGGGCCCAGTCCTTGATCAAAAGTCACATTGACATCAACAGGAATTTGGCTTGGGTAATGACTGCTAGATTTGATCCTAAAGAATATCTCTGTCCTTTCCCAGGATACCTTGTATTAGGTGGATCTTCCCTGATTATACACCCATAGATCTGTTTCTAACAGTGTGTAAGATGTAGCTTAACAAAGGTTATGCTATATGATTTGTGTGAGTGGTGTTTGGGAAGAGCAATTAAAAGGAAATTGGGTTATTGCACCAAAGTAGGTTACCTGTGGGTTACCTATTTTATAGCATTTTTTCCTCACAGTACCTAGAAGAATGATGAACTACCATTCGAACCACCAACGAACCATTGCTTTATATTTATCCCATTAGTCATGCTTTATGGGCTGCTACGTTTTCTGTAAAATATTTAACAGAATAGCCTGTAAAGGAAAAAGAAAGTGTTGTGGGACTCTGGGGGCCCAATTCTGTACAGTCGTCAAGAGGCTTACCTCTCACAGATGGAAACGAAAATCTGTGCTTTCACCAGTGCTAAACTTAGCCTTCAGAGTTCAAGCCCAAGCTTGAGATACATGTGTGTCCCTTACTATGCTATTTGAACTGTGGTGTAATGGTACTATAGAGATGGTCTTCTACATGTTTTTAGGGTTTTTTGTGCTTTTTTTTTGGTATCTCAACTGAGTTCTTTAAAGTAGGGGTCAGTAATGTGTTGGAGCTGGGAATCTCTTTAATACCACTTATCTCCAGCTGTGGGTTGCTTCAACACCACTTATCTCCAGCTGTGGGTTGCTTCCAACAAGTCCTGTACTACTACAGACACCACTGGTGCCATCACTGCTTGTCCTACCCCCTGGCCACTATGTGGGTCAAACTTACACCAAAACATCACAAATGGCCCCTAACTCTGTGGTTCAGATAAAATTAGTCCACTGCTGGCCACAGCTTTATACTGTGAGAAGGGAAGGCAAAATAAGCTTGTGGCCTTTTTTTTTTGCTGCTTGGTGATGGATTAAAAATAGTCATTTATTTCTCTAAGAAATTCAAGTCATGTCTGCCCTGGAAAGTTCTAGGTGACTGAAGAACTATCATTTGTATTTGTTTTAGAGGACATATAATCCTTTAATAGATTTTTATGCAGTGCCTAGGGCAGTAAGGCCCCGGTTTTAATTGGGATCTTTATATGCTCTCATAGGACAAGTCATAGTAATTTCAAAGGGGATTTTAAAAGGGCTAGCAATAAGTTAGGCCCCACAACACTAGAAGTTGAGCATCTCTGCTTTTAAAAAGCTGATCCCTATGATATGACAGAGTGAAAGCTGATCATCTGAGGGGAGGCGATTGTTAGAGTCCTTCAGCTTTTTGTTTGGTATTCTATAGCTAACTCCAGTGCCTAGTAAATCCTTGGGAAATAGGCAGTTGGTGAAAGATTAATCATACCCTCTTTTTCAAGATCAATCATACCTTCTGTCCTTTTCAGGTGAGTGAGAGCGCCAAAGTTGTATGTTTTCTGAGATGTTCAAGAAGTCCTTTCTAAAACATGTTAATACAACAAGCAATGGGCATGATTGAGGTCCTTGGGAGGAGGGGGAGACCAGGAATGAATAAGAGTAAGGATGGACTGACTTCATTATAAAGAAAGGGAATGACCTTCCTCATAAAGAAGGAATGTGGGGCACAATATCCAATTACTATAGGTCAGCTTTAAAAGAGGGGCAGCGAACTTTGTCCAATAACTTGCAATGCTGGCCGCTTGCTACGAGCATGAGGGCATGCAGTCCTTTTATCAATACCTCTGTGAGTCCAGGTTAGGACCCTTAGCTTGTATGCCATGTCTGGTTGAGGCAGATGGCACATCCTGTGGAATTTTTAAATTTTTATGCAAATGAATATTGCTTGGGGAAAAATTCTGTGCTGGCTACCTACACCTTTTTACCCTCTGGCTTTCTAACCAGCTGAGAATCTTCTTGCAGATACTGTTGCTAGCCAGCATGGTAGATGGAATGCTTTTAGCCTAAGCAGAGCTCCCCCCAAAGCAAGCCATTTTAAAACAGGATCTAACTCCACTTTAGAACAGGTATATATAATACTCCCCCCAACTAGTAGTTATTTCATACTTATGTATCACATATATAACATATGAGTTATAATGAGCAAATATGTTTTGGTTTTAAAGCTTAAAGATACTGACACCTTCTTCTTCCCTCTCAATTGTGTGTTAAAGAATATTACGGCTAGTATTTAATTTGTGCTATTGGATTTCTGTAATTCTGTCAGAGTAAAGTTGGATAGGAAAGGCAATGTATGTTGCAGCATTCCAGACTGACACACACACAACATTCAAACTTCCACACTCTTACATGCTCAATGAAATGCCCACTTTTACAGTGCATATAATGTGCCTCTAAGGGCATTTTACATATGTAAGTGCTGCACCACCAGGTACTTTGAAAAGCGCCTGGTGCTGTGACGCTTGCAGCTGTATAAGCAGTGAAATGCATGTCAGCGCTGAGAAAATGGTGGTAGCATGCTTTTGAACTAAAACAACTTGGAGGTGCTTTGGTTCAAAAATGCACCGCCACCATTTTCTGTGCACTGATGCGCATTGTGCCGCTTATACAACTGCACACTGCACAGTCCAGTGTGCGTCAGCTTGTGCGCAGAACAGATTTGATTAATTGAGTCTGCTTAGAAGTGGCGGATCTCTGGCACATCCCCAAACAAAAAAGTATGTGTATAAATGCCCTAAAATTCTATCCAGAAAAACCTATTACACTGGTTGTGTTACAGCTGGCTTGGTAGTTAAGAAGGTGTTTGACTACTCACAGCTGTGTCAGCACACAACAGCATGGCTGCCTATACACATACTCAGGGCGCAGGGTAGGCATTTTAATTAGAGCAGTTCCTGGACAGCTCCTCTAATTAAAATGGCTCACCATCACATGTATTAAGCCCCTGCATGTTTCAAAATGGCTGTGGGACACTTTATCTAAAGCTCATTTGACAAGGGTTAGATAAAGTGCCCCCATGGCCATTTTGAAATGTATGGGGGCTTAACACAGGTGACAGTGAGGCAACACTGGAGCATTCTAATTAGAAACCGGAGGAGACTTGGTTAATTGAGTCAGCTCCAGTGCATTCTACTTGGAACATAAATGAGTCTGTCTATAGACACCCCAAAGGCAGAATTTATATCAGTGTAAAGCCTTATAGAGCTCTTTTCACCCTAATAGAAACCTACTGCTTTGCATATTATTGTATTGTAAGGATCTTACTCTACTGTTTCTTAACAATGTTTGTTCTGGATTTCTAGTTACTAAAACAAAACAAATCTTTGCAGGTAAAATACTGGACTTGTCATTAGAGCTGTGTGAGGCTTCGGACTGTGCTTTGGATCCAGAGAAGCTTTGGACACTTAGGTGTCCGAAGCAGCATGTCTGGACCAAAGCACTCACTTTAGGCTTTCTGAAGCGGTTCAGAGCTTCTGAAGCGCTTTGGAAAAGCTTCAGAGCCACATCGAAGATCTGGCCAAAGGGTATAATGGGGAATCAGTTAAATATCTATAACTTTGTTTTTTGTCTGATTTGGATGAAACTTGCAGGGATGGTAGCCTCTTTCAAGAATTTGAGGTACAGTTCCCCCCAAACCCCTGCACCGATCTTCTTGAAACTTGGCAGGCTTCATGCTTTCAGCAGAGGCTACCACCCCGGCAAGTTTCATCCAAATCAGACAAAAAACAAAGATTCTCCATTATACCCTATGGCTGGATCTCCAAGGTGGCTCTGAAGCTTTGGAGCCGCTTCAGCGGATCAAAGCGGGAACCCAATCCAGAGCTCTGGATCAGATCCCTGGCATCTGAAACAGCCAGATCAGAAGCCGGATCGAAGAGCTGCCTACTCACACAGGCCTACTTGTCATATCTGAGACATGTCTGGCTTATTGAGTGTAAAAGTGGTTACTCTTTGTGTACTGTAAGCAAATTACAATGCAATCCTGTGGTTCCTAAAGCCACAGCAGGAGTGTTGTGGAAAATAATGCATGATTTATGACTGTACTATTTATTCTAATAAACACGTGATAATCAAGTTGATTCCTATTTTTTTCCCCTTAAATGGATTGACATTGGGATGAAGAATATTTGAAGGGAAGGATCCAGGCTTCTTATTTACCAGCATGCCAATGAGATAGAAGCCTGCTTAGACCTTATGAACAAAGTGAAATCTCTCTCTGGCTACCAGGGAGCACACTGAGACCCTGGACATCTTGTTATTAGAAAAATTAGTAGGAAACTTTTGGAACTTTTTTTTTTAAGTTATGAATGCAGAAATTGATAAAAGATTTAACAGTCAAAATTGTCAATTTGATTAAAGCTGAACAGTGATCACCTACAAGTATTTGAAGGGAAAAAAGCTGGTGAAGTAGAGGGACAAAGCATTAACTGGGATGACCTAGTTGGGGAGGGTCTTGCTTTGAGCAGGGGGTTGGACTAGATGACCTCCTGAGGTCTCTTCCAACCCTAATTTTCTATGATTCTATGGGACTTGATCTGGCCCACAGACTTCCCCACACCATTCATCTGGCCCATGGGGCCAAAAGTTTGAGAATCACTGTTCTATAAAATATGGGGACACTACCCACAACATGGCTGTAAAGAAGAATCCCAGCCCATGTTGGGCTTCTCTGTTTAAAGTTATTGTATATCTGTGTTTGGCTGTAAGGTGGACAGGACCTTCAGGGAAGAAGTTACTGTTTCCTCTCTGACCTGTTTTGCCAGTGATTGCAGACATATTTTCCTCTTCTAACACTCCCTATCTCTCACCCTGCACCCACTGATATGAGTCCATTCAGATGAAGGACCCAAACAGAATCTCCTAATATCCCAGTCTTTTCCTACTTTTGCTATCCATGTAACCTCTCAACATTTTCTTCTTTATACCTCCAGCTAACTGAGTGCATAGTTCACAGCATGCACTTCCAGGAGGGCAAAATGTACACCCTTGTTTTCAGTTTTTGATTTGACATTTCTTCTTCCACACAGTTTGCAAAGGGAACAAGCCTAGTTTTATCCTTTGATGCAAAGATCAAGGATCCTATGTTGAATTGCCAATATATAATAATGTGCTGGCTAGCAATCTTGATTTTCTGACTTGGTAATGCTATACCATTTAGGTCACTAAAATTCTCTGTAGAATAGACATTTAGGTCACATCCACAGATGCAGGCATGTGCACTTACAGCAGCAAAAATAGTAGTGCAGATTTGAGCTGGGGCTTTTTGCCTCAGTGCATGTGCCTAGACATGTACTTTGTGCAAGTTGTGCCACTTGGGGCAAAATAACCCTGCCCGGCTCCTCCTGGATCTGTAGCCAGGGGGCGCTAGAGCCTGGCCCCAGCAGTATAAAAAGCTGCCCTAGCAAACAGCTTAGGGCTACTTGCTCTCAAGATCTTTTGAGGGAGGAGCCTCTGGGAGGAAGTTGGCCATGCACCTTCCTGTCCCAGAAGATGGCCAGGCCCTTTCCTGCCTCTGGCTACTATTAGCTGCTGGCTTGGTCTCAGAGCTTTTGGAGTAAGTTCAACCCCTTCCTGCCTTGGACTGCTGCTGTTGCTGCCCCCCCCGGGAGGGGCCCACTGCACCGCACCGCACCCCAGCTTCTGCACCCCTGTTCCTGTCTGCTGCCCAGCCTGCTGCCAAGCTGCAGTTGGGAACAGCCTGGGGAGGGAATCTGTGCTGCCTGTGGTCCCCTTCCCCACCATCACTGCTGGAGCCTAAAGGAACCTTGCCTGCACCTCCACTTTCACCAGAAGCACACCCTGAGTGGCTGAACCGGATGGCTCCTATTATCACTGCTGCTGTTGCTGCCCCCCTCAGGAGAGAGGGAGATTCCCTGCTGCGCCACCTGACACCATACCTGCACTAGATCACTTCCTAATTGACTGACTGCTCCTACCCTCCCCCACAGCTACTTCACTGCATCTGATCCTGATTGGTCTTCCTGCCTACTGTTCTGCTGCTGAGTGACAGGCTGGAGGCCTGAGGGGCTTCTGGAAAAACTTCCACAAGCAAAGCCCCTCCACTGCTCCAGCCATCTTTTTACACCTGCCTCAGCAGCCTTCCCTGTGTGTTTTTTGCATTTGTGGTAAGTCCAGTGGTCCACTCCCCCTGACCTCATGTTTGTTGTGGGGCTGAGTAAGCCAGCTTGAGTTTCCCCAGCCTGTGTGTGTGTGTGCGTGCACATGTGCATGTGTGCATGAGTGTGTGTGTGTGTGTGTGTGTGTGTGTGTTCCCCCTCCCCCCCCCACATTCTCAAAGCATAGGCCTCCCGTTTCTTTTTTTTTTCCTGTGGGGCTTCAGCCCCCTTCCTCCCTATCCCCCTTCTTCCCCACAACCCTAGCCCACCCCTACTAGATTCACCGCCTTCTGGGATATTTTGTTTTTCTTGATTGTCTTCCTTGCCCTCATGTGAAACAACGGCAGGGTAGGAACCTTCTGGGGGGGGAGGTGGGAAGATCACGCCACAGAGCTTCCTGCAGCCCCCACTATGGGGGTGGATCCCACCCAAGCCCCTAAGGGGATGCATGCCTCTGCAGCCTCCACCCCAGAGGCAAAGTTCAACCAACCTCCTTCTGGGGTAAAGAAACTTGCAACCTCCAGTGCAGGGGCACATGGGAGTCCAGTAGGGAGCCAACAGGGCCAGGGGGTTGCCCCTGGCCAGGCTCCCCACCCCCCAGGGAGGGGTTCCCAAGCCCCCTCTCCCATCACTGGGGACGAAGGGCAAGGGCAGTGGGAAGGGCTCATCTTCAGCCTCCTCCACAGCTGGGGGTAGGAAGGGCAAGGGCCCTACCCCCAAGTCTAGGTCATCAGTGCTTGAGGGGACCAGGTGCACTACACCAGCCAGCACACTCACTCAGCCTGTCCCTGACCCTAGCTCCGGCCCCACCAACATGGGCCCCCGGGGGGAATGGCAGCTATGCACAGGCAGCTGCGGATAGACCTGGAGCCGGGGGGCCTGGAACCTCCACCACCGGCCCTTCCAGCTTGAGCAGCGGGGCCCCTTTCTGCCACTCATCTGCAGGCATGGGATAAGGTGCCAACTGCCCAAGTGGGAGAACCTGCACTTTGAGACCTGGATGCAGGCCCTGGCTCGGGTAGTGGGGGCCCCCCAAGATCGTGGCAGCTTCCTGCTTTCATGGCAAGGGAGCCTTTTTCCTTGCCTTGGAGGCCACTGCACAAAAGATGGTGGAGAGGGGTCTCATGGTGAAGGGTGAATACATCCCCCTTGAGCCTCTAGAAGAGCTGGGGACCAGGGTTGTTCTTGGCTCCATCCTTCCCTATACAGGCATACCTTGTTTTATTGCGCTTCGCTTTATTGCGCTTTGCAGATACTGCGTTTTTTACAAATTGAAGGTTTGTGGCAACTTTCATTGTTGTCTTATTTTAAGAAATTGCCACAGCCAACCCAACCTTCAGCAACCACCAGCCTGATCAGTCAGCAGCCATCAACATCAAGGCAAGACCCTCCACCAGCAAAAAGATTACGACTCGCTGAAGGCTCAGATGATGGTTAGCATTTTTTAGCAATAAAGTATTTTTTAATTAAGGTATGTACATTTTTTTTTTTTTTTTAGACATAATGCTATTGCACACTTAATAGACTATAGTATAGTGTAAACATAACTTTTATATGCACTGGGAAACCAAAAAATTCGTGTGACTCACTTTATTGCAATATTCGCTTTATTGCCGTGGTCTGGAACTGAACCCGCAATATCTCTGAGGTATGCCTGTATTCCCAATTGGGCCCTGCTGTCCTAGCTCCAAACCCTGGGGAGAGTTATCTCCAT